TCTGCTGTTAGGGTCAATTTGCATATTACCCTTTTATTATATAGGATAGAGGGGAGCAGGAGTTGTCACCCTAAAATATGCTTCTTTGGCATAAGGATTATTTTAGGCTGATTATTTTTAAGCAATAGCAAATAGAAAAAGCTCTGACAACTGACTAGAAGTTACCTTTTTTAAAGAGATATTTGCATAAGGGAAATGTAATGGTGCATCAAGAAGAATGACTCTAAATCTCTAAAAACTTATCAGTGGAGGAGGCAAGAACTTAAATCTGCTTAACAACCTTACCCTTGTTTACTGTGCTTTTCCTGGTCACCTCCCTCAACTGGCTCCCCACCCCACCCAAGCATCTTTTGTCCTTAGCTGATGATGGCATCTAAGGTGATGGCTTTGGCCATTTTGGGGAGTTACCCAGTTTTCCTGGGGTCTTTCCCATGTATAAGGAGGTACTGGTATATACATGATTAAACTTTTGTTGGTTTTCCTACTGTTGGTCTCTTTCTCTCTCTCTCTCTCTCTCATTAATCCTAACCACTGGTCCACAGGCCAACGCTCTAACCACTGAGCACCAGCCTGGGCTATCTCTCTTTTTATTACAGAGGCCTTAGCCAAGAACTTAGAAGGATAGAGGAAAAAAATACTTTTCCTCCCCTCAAGTGTTAATGTGTGTCTATGCATTCACCTGCCTCTAGCAGCTCCTTATGAAAGGTTAAGTGGTTGTGAAACCACATGCTTTGGAGAATCCAAGCAGCTGTTTAAACTCTTGAACAAGTAGTGCTGCCTTGTGGCTTGCCTCTGATGAGTTGCAGAGGCAGCTGAGGGTGGGCTGTCTTTGACCATCTGCAGGTTTTAATATGCTCCGCCGATCTCATGCCAACCTGGCTTGCCAGAGTTGAGGTCACTGTGCTCTGAGACATTTTGGGATGGTGCTCAAGAGAGCTGTGCTCTGCAGCCTCCTGGGCCCTCCTGCAGGTGCACTTGCTTTTTCAGTTTGATGCTGTTTTTCTTACCCTTTATAGCAGTGGCTCTCAACCTTGGCTGCACATTAGAATCACCTGGGAATCCTTTTAAAATCCTGATTTCTGGGCCTCATCCTCTGGAAATTCTGTTTGTTACTAATGATGAGGCCCAGAAATCAGGATTTTAAAAGGATTCCCAGGTGATTCTAATGTTCAGCCAAGGTTGAGAACCACTGCAGTCTATAGACACCCGCAGCAGAACTATTATTACTTGCTTGTTACTGCGTGTTGCTGATTCATGCTCAGAGGAAAAAGACATTTTGTCTTTCACACTCTTTCCTGTCACTTAAGGCATATGTTAACGAAGGACAGATTTTGGCATCCATTCTTCCCTGTAGCTTTGAGGCCACAATATCGATTCATTATAAATGAAGATGAAACTGTTACTTTACTTCTATCCATATTTATAACTACACCAAAGCTATCCTGCTGGTACCTTTGTGCCTCTCAAATCTCAAACCATATTCCAAGAAATGCTCAATATTTTATGCTTGAATTGGCATTAATGTACAGACAATGTTTTAAATAAAGATGTTTTCACTCATATTTTATACTGACACTCCATGAATTCACATAGATTAGATTATGCTACAGCCGAATCTCTTTGAAGGCTTCCCCTCCCCTGGCTGTACAGACTAATTTTTCTCTTTAAGTGAGGAGGATGCAAGTATTGGGTGCTCTGCTTACCCGGAGGGAAGCCAAGTAGAAGGCTGAAGGCTGAAGTGGGTGAGGCAAGAGAATTAAAAATACAGAATGCGTAAAAGAACTAATAGATGGCTTTTGCTTTGTCATTCCTCCTGGTTCCTTTTATTCCCTTCCTTCCCAGTTTGTTACTGTGGACAAGTGTAACCTACTTATTCCATAGACTCACTGGAATGAGCTAGAATGAGCTGTAGTAACCTTGAAGGTCATCTGATCCAAACTCCCATCCATTGTTAAAATTCCCCGATTTATTCAGAAACTCGCTTTCTTCTCCAGCAGCTTTCTGAGCAGCATTTGAGCCTTTCAATTAAAAGTGCACTGACGAGAGTAGAGGTTTGGAGTCAAACAGTTCTGGGTACAAACTGTGGCTATCACTGACATCTCAGAGTCCTGTCTCATCGGTTAAATAGTTACAGTAAAGCTAATTCGTAGGAGCTTGAGGGTTAAATGAAGTAAATAAAAGTGTCGTATATAAAAAACAAAACAGTACAGAGATAAATTAAGGGTAGCTGAGCAGTTCAATAGAAACTAGGACCCACACTTCCTGTCTGATGCAGGGCCATACTTTTCCACAGCATTCTCACAAGGTCTCATAAAACCACTGAAAAAGTTTCTGATGCTGGAGTGCTCAGTGTGCTGCCTGGTAGACTGTAAATGCTTTTATTAATAACAATACCTCACATATATTCGGGGTTTTAGAATCACAATGCGCTTTCACAAGTGGGGGAAAATAGCCACGCCAACATGTCTACTGATGACTAAGAGGCAGGAAACGGAGGAGCAGAAGTTCTGAAAGGTCTATGAGCGATGCAAAAGTGAAGTAACCTGCACTGGTGAGGAGCTTAATAAACATTAAAACCAATTAGAAGTTACAATGCGAGACACCTTCAGGCTTCAGATCTTGGCTTTGATGAGTCCGAAAATCATAAGAACACAGCATAGGGGCTTGGGGGCAAGAATTTAAGCGACCCGAAGCTTAACCGTCTAAATCAGTGGTTCTCAACCTTCTGGCCCTCATGTTGTGACCCAACCATAAAGTTATTTTCATTGCTACGTCATAACTGTAATGTTGCTACTGTTATGAATCGTAATGTAAATACCTGATATGCAGGATGGTCTTAGGTGACCCCTGTGAAAGGGTCGTTCAACCGCCAAAGGGGTCGTGACCTACAGGTTGAGAACCGCTGGTCTAAATGGTTCAGATGTCCAGGAGGGCAACTCTCTGCATATGGATGAATTTTCACATAGAAACCAGAGTACAGCAAAAATTCAGACTGCATAATGGTAGAACCCTCAGTGCGTTCATAGTTTAGAGACAAAGCATATGGAACTGAGACAAACAGCAAATAAGCTCTCAGAAGTCAACATTAACTGGGTGTTTCAATCTGACAAATGTGTCATACTGCATGCAAAACTTTTAAAAATAGAAACTGTTACCTTGGCTTTTCTCACAACCCTCTCAAACAGTTCTTCACGTGTGTGAGAATTTTTACATTTGGAAAATGCTCAAAGGTGAATTTTTAGAAATGGAAAAAAATGGAAGGTGCATTTTCAATATAGCATATTTCATTGTTTCTGTAGCCTAAGAAGATGAAAGAACATATCTTTTTCTGTTAGAAAGAAAATGGGAATAAAGAAAAAGAAAATGGACCTCTCAAAATCTAGCTCCTTCAGAAGATGGATTTTTAAATATCAAACTCTGTCTAAAGGGAAAAATAAAAATTTCATGCAATTAGCAAATAGCTTAAATCAAAACCCAAGCAGGAACATTTGTAACACTTCATGATTTTGTTAATACCTATAGGCAATATTCCAAATCAGGGCTTTCTCTTTTTTTCTTCCTCTGCCCAAAAATCTACATTTCTAGCAATACGCAAGCTGACTTATATCCTTTTTGAGGCAAAATAGGGGGTTGATTCAGGTCAGAAGACTGACCAACAAACTTAAGACACTGGTAGAAATGGCCCTCCTGAGCCATTATGTGGAATAGGAGGTCTATGCTAGACAGAGCTCAAAAGAGGACGGTTTGTGTCTCACAGTCCAAATTCGGTTGCTGTTATTTTGAAGCTTCTAAAGGTTAACTACATGCTGTAATACACTATAGAAAGACACGAAGCTGAATTTTACCGCGCCAGTCAAGAGGCAGGCTTGAATCTGCTATTTAGGACTGAGAGAGACAGTACAATTTACATGTGTGAGAATGTGAGAATAATTTCACCTTCTGTTGTTTTTAAAACCACCTTTGGGCCATGATTTTGAAATTGAGAAACAAGATCTGCTGGGGTTCCCATAGCAACATTAACTTATCTAACTTCCCTTGTTGTATGTAATACTTTCATTACTAGCTTGGCTAGTAAATGTACCCTTTAATTATGAAAGACAACCAAGTTAGGAGTCTCGGGCAAATTTTAACTTTTACATTTACTGACATGCATGTTTAAACAAACCTGGATATTGTACTTTTGAAGACTTGCTATCAAGGCAAGTGTGTACAAAAACATTTCTGTGGTCTTCCTTGCTCCTCATCTCTGTATTCCATTCTTTAGATGATCCCTCAACCAATCTCTCCAGATACATTTATAACATGCCATGACTAGGATGAAACAGAAACAAACCAACCTCAGATGGGTCCATTCTGGGGACTAGACCCCGATGTGTCCTCCATTCTAGTCTGTCTATAAGATGACCCTCTCCCTATCTTTTCTCCACTATTCATCATCACAAATGTCCTGCACCAAATATGTTTTCTCACCATCTTGAGAGCACACATTCAAGGACCCCCTTCCAGAACCCTGACTCTTCCCCCTTCCTTCCCACAAAGATCTTTCAGAACCACTATTACTACTGTGACCATCACCATGTGACACCCTGTTTGTGACTGGGCAGCATCCCTCCCCTATTATTAAAAAAAAATAATATTGTCTTGATTTTCCTTTGAGGAACTTTCCTCCATTCTATACATTCTGGTGGCACCATCAATGAAGCTGCCCTGCACCAGCCTATTAAGAGGTAATCCGTGACCTAAGTGGACCAATCAAATTCTCCCAGGAAGTTGAATTTTAAGTAAATTAAAAAAGGAAAAATAGCGGGGATTGAATTATTGCGATGGTGGTCCTTTGAAGAGACTGTCCATTTCTCCCAGATTTCTGTGACTCCTCATCAAAGTCCACCAGCTGTTAAGCTCCCTGCTTGAGTACTTGATCATATATTATCTTTAATCTTGATTTAGAGGCTTGCAATGTGCACGTTTTGCTTTGCCAGCTAGATAATATTGATGCTCTCTGAAAACAGGGCTGGGTCTTATTTATTGTATTATTCCAGATAATTCAGCACAATGTAAGTACTTAGTAACAAATAATAATAATAAAAAAACAATCTTAGAAACTCTGTAAGTACCTAGTAACAAATGAAAGACCAATCTTAGAAATTCTATTCTATTAATGTGCAGTACACAAGCTGACTTATATCCTTTTTGAGGCACGGTGGTAAATAAATTTTTAATTGCTACAATTTAAGAATTTTCTTGGATATAAATAGTTGTCTTAAGGAGAACTTAAAATGACTTGAACACCTAATAGTCTGAAAATAATTTTAGCATGGGTCATAATTCCCCAAGTTTAGAAAAGGAAAGAGAAACTGAAACTCTCTTTCAGACATTAGTCTCTGAATTTAAAAAAAAAAAAAAAGTTTTTGGGAAAACTGACAACAAAACAATAAAAACAACACACCTTTGTCTTGGGCTTGTGATTTTTCCCTGGAAACAAGGTGAGCTGCCTGTCTGCTACCAGATAACACAGGAGGGAGTTGAACTGTGTTTGACTAATATATAAGTAGCGTAGGTGATTTTCTCCTCTTCTGAAAAATGAAAGGCCATGGTTTCCTAGAAACATGACTTATGACAGTAATTAAATTGCATGCTTACAAATTCAAACAAGCTTGCTCATATTAAGTTTTGAAAACACAGGCTATGGTGCACTCTTCCAAACCACTTACACGTGCTTACAATACACCAAAGAGCTCGCCCACAATAAACAGCAGAATATATACATTCTCTTCTTCTGTCTTTTCATAAATATAAAATTTATATAAATCTTTGAATAGTGTGGTCCTCTGGTTTGCACCTCAACGTGGTACAGAGTTCAGCTATGCGAAAGGAGTGCAAATGCTGATGTGGAGCTTTTTTGAGTCAAGTGTAATGGTTTCTGGAATTTGCCTTGAACCCATACTCGGTGCATTTTCACTTGTTTTTTCCTATTAACTTGTAAGCGGCGATCAATCAGATTTTGCTTCTCGTCTAACCCAGCCTTGCAGAACATACTGTGGACTTCCCCTGTGAGACAAAAATAGCAATCAAATGTGTGACATATGACTGGGAAGGGGGAGGTGGCAGTCAGAGACATGGAACATTAAATGAAATGATTGACCATCTAAATTTCATTTTTACTAACAAATACTCAATACAAAACAATGAAGGGAACGTGAAACCAAGTGGGTTTCTTCCACTTCACCCAAACACACCAAGTATAAACAGGCTAGCACAGCAAGCATAGATGTACAGAATTATTGGTGACAGCTTTCAATATTTTGAAAGCTGCCCCCTGTTTGAGTTTTTATTGGTTTGCAGAGATCCCAAATGACACTTTATAATACTACTAGAGGCCCGGTGCACAAAAATTTGTGCACTCGGGGGGGAGGGAAGGGGTCCCTCAGCCCGGCCTGTGCCCTCTCGCAGTCTGGGACCCCTCGGGAGATAACGACCTGCTGGCTTAGGCCTGCTCCCGGGTGGCAGAGGGCAGGCCTAATCCCTAGGTGCAGACCCTGGTCGGGCTCAGAGCAGGGCCGATTGGGGAGTTGGGGCACCACCCCCTGTCATACACAGAGCAGGGCAATCAGGAAGTTGTGATTCCACCCTCAGTCACGCTCAGGGTAGGGCCGATTGGGGGGTTGGGGCACCATCCCCTGTCACACTCAAGGCAGGGTCGATGGGGAGGTTGCGGCGCCACCCCTGTCATGCACAGAGCAGGGCCAATCAGGGAGTTGGGGCATTTCCCCCTGTCACTCACAGAGCAGGGCCCATCAGGAGGGTTGGGGCTCTGTACCCTGTCACGCACAGAGCAGGGCCAATCAGGGGGCTGGGGCGCAGCCCCCTGTCACGCACAGAGCAGGGCCCATCGGGGGGTTGGGGCGTCGCCCTCTATCACCCACAGAGCAGGGCCGATCAGGGGGTTGGGGTGCCGCCACTCTCACACTCAGGGCAGGGCCGATGGGGAGGTTATGGCTCTACCCCGTCACACACAGAGCAGGGCCTGAGGGGGGGGGGGGGGGGGTTGGGGCACTGCACCCTATCACACACAGAGCCGCAGGGCGATCAGGGGGTTTGGGCGCTGCCCCCTGTCATGCTGATCCCGGTGCCGGGAGACCTCGCGGCTCCGCTGATCCCAGTGCTGGGAGGCATATTACCCTTTTACTATATAGAATAGAGGCCTGGTGCATGGTTGGGGGCTGGCTGGTTTGCCCTGAAGGGTGTCCCGGATCAGGGTGGAGGTCCCCACTGGGGTGCCTGGCCAGCCTGGGTGAGGGATGATGGCTGTTTGCAGCTGGTCACACACCCTTCAGGGTGGGGGTCCCCACTGGGGTGCCTGGCCAGTCTGGGTGAGGGGCTGAGGGCTGTTTTCAGGCTGGGACTGAAGCTCCCAAGTGCTCCTTTTTTCTTTCTTTTTTTTTTATTCTAAGCCAGCTTTAGCTCTGAGGCTCCAGCTCTTAGGCCTCCGCTCCTGAAAGCAGGTATCTGGTTTGTTTAGGTTCTACAATCGAAACTCTGTATCAACTCCAGGTCTGAGATCCCGGCTAGCTGAAAGCTGGTTTCTGGGGTTTTGTTTAGCTTCTATTTTTGTAACTATGTTTCAAACTGCCAGCTCAAAGGCCTGCAGCAGCGGCAGGCGGGGAACGTTGGAGTCCTCCGTCACTGAAGCAAGCAAGCCTCATGTTAGTTTCAAGCTGCCTGGCTGCCGGCCGCCATCTTGGCTGGCAGTTAATTTGCATATCGCCCTGATTAGCCAATGGGAAGGGTAGCGGTCGTACGCCAATTACCATGCTTCTCTTTTATTAGATAGGAGGAGGATTCACATAAGTTTGGGGAAAGTCCTTGAGTACAGGATTCATTTTCAATACTTTTTTAAAATGAGAAAGTAAAAAGAGCTAAGTAATTTTCTAGGGACTCTTAAAATCATACTCCTGCCTCTGCTGTGGCCTACCATCAAGTTTTTTCATATCTGGACAAACAGTACTTCCAAAATGGAACAGACTATCCCTTCATTTGGGTATAAGGATGGAACAAGTGATTATTTAAAGCAGTTTCCACTGGAGAAAGATTAGAAGGCAAAAAGGCCATTTTCAAGCTGTTATGTAGAATAGTAGTCACCAAAGTGTGAAGACATCCAATGTTTAATCAAGCATTAAAGCCTCATTTTTAGAGCTTCTGAATTTTCTCTCTGTAAACAATAACCAAAAATATTTTTTACAGCTAATTATTTCTTCTTATAGATAAGTATACCTTTTGTAAAGAAATATGCCCGGGTACCATCTCCTCGAACATAAAAATTTTCAGATAAACAGTGCCCTGAAAAAAAATAATTATGAGAAGAGAAACTTAGTATTTCTTAAAAAAAAAATCTTGACATGAAATATAAATGAGGCATTCTTTGAAACAAGTGAAAATAATCTGAGACTGAATATACTATTACCCCTTTTGAAACGAAGCTGAGTCTTATCATATCTTCCATAGTCCCGAAATAACAGCATCCCCCCAGGTTTCAGTAACTTGGACAATCGGTTTACAACACCTTGCATCCTTTGAAAACAAAGCAAGATACGGTTTGCAGAAATATTTCATATACCAAATTTTAATTTCTTAAAGATAAAATAAGAAAAGTTCGATAAGGCCCAAGAAACCTAAACCACAAAAATAAGGGCAATAAAGACAAAAAATATTTTGTATAGAAAGAAAAAAGGACACCAACTTGCTAAATTATCAGATTCAAAAGGCCTAGAGTATCAAGAAATCACCCAAATGACCAGAGCTTGATGGATGAAGTCAAAGCTCAAGTACCAAACCACAGAGATATTTTCTGATAATTACAGCAAATTAAAGTAGGTCCAAGGCAGACAGAAACGGATGTCGATCTATTTTTCTTGCAAGATAAAAAATAAGCCAGAGCAATCCCAAATTGTGCATATCTAAACAGAGATCACCTTTCCTCCAAAGTAGCTCCTTTTATCCTGGCTTCTTTATTTAGTTCAAAGGTACCGACATTCACCAAAGTGTAACACCTCAGGATATCATTAACCCTTCCAGGTCTCTCTTCTTCCACTATCCTCTCCAAATTTGGTCATCAAGTTCTATCTTCTACTTCTTCTTTTTTTAATGACATCTTTGATATTTTTCCCTTTTGTTTCCCATTAGAACTCCCTTGGTACAAACTGCTACCTCTTAAGGCCTAGAAACAGAATAGCTTCCTAATCTATTTTATTATTCTCCCTGTCAACAATTCCTGCGTATTATTAATGACTTATTCTGCTTAAAATGATGGTTTTGTGAAATCATTGCTTTGCTCAATTAATTTTTCCTGTCTCTTTCCCACTACTTCCTAATCTGAAGCATCAACTCCAGCCAAACTGTACATGCTTGGCTCTGAGCAGTCCATGCCTTTCTTTGTTTATGTGGTTTCCCCTTAAAGAATTCTCTCCTTGCTCTCTGCCTATTTAAATTCTATTCACGCTGCAAGTCCCGGTTTAATACTGGGTAGCCTTTACTTTCTTTCTTTTATTATTTATTCTACTTATCTTGTTCCCCATCAAATATGACCCCTTGTTACTGTTCTTGACTTAATGCTTTTGGTAAAGTGTTCTTGGACTTATGTGTAAATATGGATGAGAGATGGCAAAGATTTCAGATCTTATATTAATGCCCAGTGTTTGACATTGGCTGCCTACAGAGCTCTATTGAGAAAAACTCAGGGCTCATTGGGAATGATGATCTGAGTACAAAATCAGTGACAAATGTCTGCCCTGGACAGACAGTGGTAAATTGTAGCTGGTGTGCTAATCCATACTTTATCCATGCTACTTAAAGCTTCTAAGATGTTCTTGTTTTAAAAGTGAGGGCTTGGGATCAGATAATCTGTACATTCTTTCCAATTAAGACACTGTTCAGTGGAATAATGGGGTGAAAAGCTGTGCCAGGTTATGAAGGAAGCAGATACACGAAAGGAAGTGAGAACACGAAAATAACTATGAAAACAAAAGAGAAATATAACAGAAAGAGGTGGCATGCTTAGATCAAAAGCTCTTTTAAAAAACTGGAACATAAGTACACAAAAGGGAAAAAGAAAAGTATTTTTCCTTGTTTATTTTATTACAGGTTTTTTTTTCCCCCACACTGTGCTTATATTCTTGGGCTTTGGCAATTAAATATGACTATATCTAAACCTTAAAATAACTCACTTTCAGGATATGTTTTACGTACAGAGAAAAGTCTCCTTTTGCAATTATTACTAAAGCAAGCATGAAACAAAAACGCAGAAAAACAAAGAGCCAAGTACAGTTGACTCCTGAGCAGCATGGGTTTGACTAGTGCAGGTCCATTTATACATGGACTGTTTTAATAAACATATTGGAAACTTTTTTGGAGATTTCCTTACTCCTGTGAAGCAATCATATTGGTTACCTTATGCTGCCATAAAGCGATTACATTGCTTCTTCCCTATTATCAATGTATGAATCATTCATTATACCTGTAAATAAGTATGAATTTCTTTTTCACAATATCTTTTCATTTTTGATGTCTAGTGTTAGTGCTATAACATCTACAGTGTTTTGTATCATGTAAAATAATACTGATGTAGGACCGACAGACAATCTAGCTTATAAACAGATGACATAAAATTACGGTATCAATAAAGACAGCACAGTACTGTAAATGTATTTTTCCTTTCTTATGATTTTCTTAACAATATTTTCTTTTTACCAGCTTACTTTATTGTAAGAATACAGTATATAATGCCTATAAAATCCAGAAGGTATGTTAATTGACTGTTTATGTTATTGTTAAGGTTTCTGGTCAACAGCAGGCTATTAGTTGTTAAGTTTTTAGGGAGTCAAAAGTTATATGCAGATTTTCAACTGCGCAATGGGACAGCACCCCTAATCCCTGCCTTGTTCAAGGGTCAACTGTACTTCAAAATGTAGCCACTTCCGTCTGCAAATCTTTTCTTCCCAACTATCCTTTCATGTCGGGGGTTGTGGGTAAAGGCAATGGGTGGTAGCTCATTTCTTGATCACCCCGTCTTGGCTCATAATACAGTTCCAGGGCCAATGAGAGCTGCAGGCGGGAGTGGCTGGCAGTGAGATGGACAAGACAAGAGGGGAGAAAGCCCCTTTTCTTCCTTTACCCTACTTGCACCAACTCTGCTATCCTCTGGGTGAAGGAAGAAGAGAAGGAAAAGAAGAGGTTTTTAAATATGAGTAATGCCTGCCTACTCTATGCTTGAGTCTGTGGTAAACATACTTTCTTTCATTTTAATGACAAGGACAGCTAGCTCTTCTTTTATAGCCTTCCATTTAAACTGGGACCCCCAGACTCAAGGTCTAGCTGACCCACTTGCTGTTCATTTGTGCATGGATTTTCCAGGCTGGCAAGAATACTTTTCTAGAACTTCCCTGGGACTGAATCTACTACCACCATCCTAAATGACCCTAAAAACATTGTCTTGCCTTTTCATTTACTATGACCCTCTTTCTACTCATTCACCTTATTTTTAGATCATTTCCATGTAGATAAGAAAGTGGCTACTGACTTGATACATCTGAATTTATTCTATAATAAATAAATAGAATAAACATACTGTACAATAAAAGTAATCTTCCCAAGACATCTGCTTTCCCTTCTCTTTAACATTCTATTCAAATCACGAGAAAATACATCATCTACACTAATTTCAAATAGTCCTTTTGTGGTCTTATTTGGAATTTAAACATTTCCTGTTATGGGTGTCAAATAGAAAATCTTGTTCTCTATCCACCTACTCCATCCTTTTGACTATTCTTCCTTTTAACTATGAAACAAAACATGTAGATGACATCTTTCTACTAGTACCTGAATAATGCCAATAGTCTAAACAGATTAGCAGGAAGAAATAGGTTATAGAACCTGGGAGGGAAAAAGGAGCTTAATGGAACCTGCTGTATCTCACTAAGTGCAAATATATATTTCATTCAGATTTATTTGGAAATCTAATTTGTTTTTCCACAAAGTAATTCAAGTGCCCATCTCTGAATGAGAAGTAACAGGACTGTAAAGGGTCCTAGTTGCAAAGAGAGAAGCACATAGCAACACAGCCTCTTTGGGAAAGGGTCACACTCATCAAACAAAAAGTGTTTGATGCCAAGCCTGTACCTGCTACCAGAGGCTCCTTCCTGGAGGAGTCTACTACCACAGTAGAAAGCCCACGTTTAAGAAACCTTATGAAGGCACAACCCCTGAAACCACACATGTGCCTGAATATATACAAAGGGCAGAATTTTAAAAGAAAAGTGATCACTTTAATTGCTGGTAATAGCTCTACGCTTCTTCTCTGGAAAACATTGTGTGTGGTCCTACCCGGTTTTGCTCAGTGGATAGAGCATCAGCCCACAGACTGAAGAGCCTCAGGTTTGATTCCAGTCAAGGGCACATACCTTGGTTGCAGGCTCAATCCTTTGTCCTGGTCAGGGTGTGTGTGAGAAGCAATCAGTTGATGTGTCTCTCTTACATCAATGTTTCTCTCTCTCTCTCTCTCTCTCTCTCTCTCTCTCTCTCTCTCTCTCTCTCTCTCTTTCTCTCTCTCTAAAGATCAATGGAAAAATATCCTCAGGTGAGGATTAACAAAAAAAAACCACCACCAACAAAACATCATGTGTGAACAAAAAAATTAAGTCATAAATATTTAAATAATGTCACTAGGCCAACCTTAGATTATAAAGGTCCAAGGTTAATCTGGCAGATCTTGACAATCTTGACAATCCCTAATTCCCTAGTGGCCGCCTTCTTCTTCTTCTTTTTTTCCCCTCCCTAGTGGGCTTCTTTAAAACAAAATTTTTAAAGCCTCTGGACAGACCTGTGTGAAGCCAAATAGATTCACCGCCCACCTCTTCACGAATGTTCAGAAAGATGCTAAATCAGAGATGTTTGTTTCTGATCACCAAGTACCATTTCCCTCCTGGGAGTCTATTAGGCTGCTCTGAATTTGTAATTTCCTTGAAGCACTGTCACTTTTAATAGGTATGTGTCTTGCCAGCGTGTACACCCTTCATTCTGACAGTGACGGAAAGCTCACTAATGAAGCAATCTGACCAGTTTCTTTCTAAAAGTGTGAAGAAAGGGAAAACTGCATTTAAAAGGCTGCATATTATACATAATGTAGTTCACTAAATAAGAAATGCAAGAATTGTCGTTTTTGCTTTGATAGTTCTAAAAACTGCTACTGCTAAAGGGGCTTTCCACATGTGCTTTACCCTTTGCGCTTCACTCACCTGTCAGGATGAATGGAAGAGAGCACAAAGACAAGGAGGATGACATCCAGGATCCCATCCGGGAACGGGTAGGGCAGGCCATCGTCACACACATCGTGAACAAAGGCGCAGCACTGGGCTGCTCTGTAGGATGGGTGCGACTGTCAGGATAAAGAAACAAAAGGGGGGGGGGGTAGTTAGCAGACTTACAGTATTTTTCTTAAAGTAAAAAGGTCAACGTTTTTACTTCTCCCTAGTGCCTTTCTCTATACATTCTGATGCATTTTATTTCTGATTCAGCATTTTATTTCAAAAGCAGCCATAAAAATTAAGTCTACCACTTGTAGTTGATAACAAATATTCTTTGCAATCCCTCTTTAATTCTAAAAGTGGGGTGGGGCAGTCCTCTGAGTCCGTAGACAGTGTTGCTGGAAGACTCCCCGGGGCTATTTCAGAGGCACAGGGCTGCTCCTCAGCTCTCCCCCATTGCTTGTGCAGGCCTCCATGAGCTGTATTAAAAAGGTTGCATTAGAGCACACACACACTCTCTCTCTCACATACACACACACACACTCACACACACTCATACACACTCTCTCTCACATACACACACACACACACACATACACTCTCTCTCACATACACACACACACACACTCACACACACACAATTCACCTACAGAAACAACGGTGCGAGGATACATGCAAAAATATTAATAACACTGATTTATCCTAGGGCTCTAGGAAGTGTAATTGTAAGTGCACTTCAGGCTTTTCAATATTTTAGAAAATGTCTACAATGAAAATTATTACTCCTATTATCAGAAATTAGGTTCCGTGTGTTTACTATACATTTTTGTTTGTAGAATTTCCTTTCCTTTTCCATTTCCTAACATTGCCTCTTCTTGCTAAAAATACGTTCACTAGCATTTGGGGGCTGGTCAAATAAGCCCAGGTTCCCCACTGTTTTCCTTACCTCCTAGGATGTTTTAGATTTGCATTATATGCCTTTTCAGACAAGCCCCTCCCCCCATTTTTTTTTTAAATTTAATGAATGCCTACTATGTGCCAGGCTGTGTGTAAGGCTTTATAGACATGAACAAGACCACCTTGTAGGAGCTGTTGGCCTTTCTAGGTATACCAGTCCCTTCAACTCTACGTTAAATTCAAAACAACTTTTATTGTTTTAGGGTCCTAACTTAGGCATCTATTGATGGTATGAGTCCCAGAAATAGTAAAAGCTCAGTTAAAAATGGCCACAGATGACATCTGATGCAGAAACATTCCCTCCCCTGGCCCAAATCACTTCCACAGCAAATAAGTCAGGTTCTTACTAGTATCTGGCTCTCCTTACAGAAAACCCAAGGCATACCTTTACTAGCTCCACAGCTCCAGAGGCGAAATCACAACAATAAAGGAAGGACTCTGGAGCATTCCTGTGAAAATGAAAGAAGTAGTTAAATCTAGAATCCAGATATGCTCCGACTGCAGAAGAAAAAAACTAGGTCTGAACTAATTAAAAAGTACTTCCTCAATAGAATTTTGGATGATACTTGGCTTGTCATTTTGTCTTTGTAGATACTGTTCTCAATAGTGGTTTGTAGGTGGCCTTCCTGTTGCCTCTGAACCAACATTGTCTCAAACACTTATTAATTACAGGGTTCATTTCATATTCCTGTCCTGGTTTTAAGGCTATTACTAAGGCCTACCTCCCCTCAAACCACACTCTCACACGGAAAACCTCCAAGCTCATCCATCAGCATTGCTTCAGCCTCCTCCTGCCCCTCACAGGCACTCTTTCTTCTCAGCCCGTGGGAAGCCGCTCATTGTCTTCACTAGCAGAGAGGTGTGGACAAGGAACCCGGAAGGCTGGTGACCTTTGAGCCCTGGCAAAGGTCAGGGCTATGCACCCACTGTTTAGTCGAGACAATGGTAGCTGAACAACTTCCCCACCAGATAGTCATGTAAATCCTTACTGATAAGATAGTCTTGTCTGTTACTGGAACTTGCCTGCCTAAGGGCTATAGGTGTATCCCAAACTGAATATGAGGATGGCAAGGCCTGAGCACAAGGGAGCCCATCCTCTTGGGATGGGCTCTCGCCTGGCCCCCCAATTTCCAAATTATTTGTCTCGTCTCTTTCATTTGCGTGCGGCCCCTCTTCCAGGTCCTGAACCCCGAACCACGCGGGACGTGGGGGAACATTCACATCAGCCCCTAGCCGCACGGTCTATAGCAGTGGTTCTCAACCTTCCTAGTGCCGCGACCCTTTAATACAGTTCCTCATGTTGTGGTGACGCCCAACCATAAAATTATTTTCATTGCTACTTCATAACTGTAATTTTGCTGCTGTAAACAATATGTAATTATATGTGTTTTCCGATGGTCTTAGGCAACTCCTGTGAAAGGGTCAACCCCCAAAGGGGTCGCGACCCACAGGTTGAGAACCGCTGGTCTATAGCTACTATTAGCTTAGGCAACTTCTACCCTTCAACCCGGACACAGGCCCCTGTGTCCCTTCAGTGGTGCTTCATTCCCTTTCCTGTGTGTACAACTCATTTGGCTCCTGGGCCTCTGATGCCGTGAAGGGGCGGAAACACACACACACACACACACACACACACACACACACACACACACAGCTTGTAAATACAATTTCTAAAGACTAAAACACTACTATATTAATTTTTAGTTATCTTTCCAAGTTATTGTCAAACTTTTATTGAGACTCATATATGTACCAAGCATTAGAGTACAAAGTAGTAACGAAGTTGTGTAAGAAGAGTATGGATTTCAGAATCAAATAGACCTGTTGTTTAAATCCTGGATTTGCCACTTATTAACTTGTGAATTTGATTTAATTTCTTCGAGTCTCAGTTGGTTTATTTACAAAATGTAAATAAAGCACATAAATTTAGGTTTTTGTTTTTTTTCTGGGGTGTGGTGTGCTGGAGAGGTTGACACATGAAAATCTTGACTAATTTTAATTGGCCTCCACTGAACTTAGACAAGTTCTATTTGGCCTTTATCTGAAATTCATTTAACAACGACTGGACAATGGTTGTTCATGGGCAGCTGTATACTTTGAATTCTGTGGGCCAGTATCCTTCCTTATCATCTCTCATATGCTAGGATCAAATAATCCTTGCATCATGTTGCTTAGTCCATGTTTGAATCACAGAAAGGGATCAGTATGCCATTAAATTTTAATTATCAGAATGGTCCTGGCTGTTATGGATTTTATAGCCTATGTGGGGACATAACTGGTTTTATACAACTACTAAAGGGGTGTTGCCAGGGCAGGCTTCTGGAGGTTTAAGTCTTAGGAATTTTTGTTGTTGTTGTTAATCCTCACCCTAGGATATTTTTTTCCATTGCTTTTTAGAGAGGGAGGGAGAGAGGGAAGGAGGGAGGGAGGGAGGGGGGACATACACACATCAATGTGAGAGAAACTCATCGATTGGTTGCCTCCCATGGGTACCCTGACTGGGGCTGGGGATTGAACCTGCAACCCTTTGGTGTGCTGGCGACGCTCTAACCACTGATCAATGCCGGCCAGGGCAGTCTTAAACATTTTGAAGGAGAGGATAGCATTGCTAAGTGGGGAGAAGGGGAAACAGTACAAGGGTTTAGAGGTGGGAGTCACACACCAGGGATAAGAAGCAGAATTGATCCCAACAGCCCAAACTGGTATGAGGTAGGATATTCAGGTGGGTCTTGAAGCACATCATTAGAACTTTTTTTTTTTAAAGTATATTTTTGTTGATTTCAGAGAGTTAAGGAGAGAAAGAGAGATAGAAACATCAATGATGAGTGAGAATCATTGACTGACTGCCTCCTGCACGTCCCCCACTGGGGATCGAGCCCACAACCCAGGCGTGTGCCCTTGACCGGAATCGAACCTGGGACCCTTCAGTCCACAGGCCAACAAGCACTTCTAATTTGATTCAGGAAGCATTTCAAGCAAGGAGGACTTTTAAGTAAATATGGACTCTAAACACAAATATGCATTTAGCCAAATATCACCCAGGCTCAGATTATATTCTTTTTTCTCTCAATATATTTTTATTGATTTCAGAGAGGAAGGGAGAGGGAGAGAGAGACAGAAACATCAATGATATTTCTAGTGGGATTGAGCCCATAACCCGGGCCTGTGCCCTGACTAGGAATCAAATTGTGACCTCCTGGTTCATAGGTCAACACTCAACCACTGAGCCACGCCGGCCAGGCTCAGATTATATTCTTAAATGCTACCCATTGATGAGCACTATAGTCACGCATAGTCAGTCATTTGTTTTGTGGCACTAGGGATTGACACTTGGTTTAAGATCTGTCCAAATAAGTTCAAGTTGGATGAACAGAATTTGGTTATGAAAAGTTAACTGGTACTAAGTCATCTCTCAGTAACTGTTTTCTCATCTTTAAAACAGAGATAAATACGGCATCTAAAGTGGTTGTAAAGATTAATGGGTTCGTGTAAGTACAGTTTCTAGAAAGGTGTCTAATTCAGAGTAAGCACCTAATAAATATTAGTCATTATTAAGTTACTGCTGTTGCTATTATTTATTATCATTACCATATTTTTAAAGGAAGATCTCCCTGTGCCTTCCAGGAACTTAAAAACTTAAGAACTTAACAGGGTTCTGTAAAAATTTCCATTTAACTCAAAATGCTTCTCTGGACACTGGCATGTCTAGCTCATTATGAAGGGAATGCAGTCTACCTTTGGGCAGTAGTTACTAAACATCCACATGATACAGAATGGTCTAGCTGCTAAAGGAGAGCATGGGCCGTTCGCCACGTGTCCTGCCAGGGTGGCAGCATGACCTCTGAGACTGAATTCCCGCTGCATCAGCAGCCAACGTTAAGGTCTTGTGACCACTCACTGACTTTCCAGAGCATTTCTGTGAAATCAGCTGACTGCCCTGGCCCTTCTCCCAGCAAGTAGGTGTAATATCACTGCTACTGCCACTCCACCAAGCACTCTCTTGGCAGGGGCTTAAGAAATAAACGATCCTTGGAGAATGATATGACTTCTCAATTCCAAAGGTCTAATTATAGTAAAATATTCTGAAAATGTAAAACATTAACCCTATACTCTCAAAAAGTAATAAAACATAATTTCTTAGGTGGGGAAAAAAAAGTCTAATGGAAAGTTAATCATGGTTGCCTTTTAAAGATGCATTCATTAGCTCAGATTACTGAGCTACAGTGATTTCTAAAATGTGGATACAAGGCAAAATAAAGATACAAGATGAGAAGAGCCAAAGAGTGAGGAAGCAAGAGCTTGCAATTATCAGTCGAAGGGAGAAGTAGAAAGGGAAGAATACAGCTAACAAGAGGGGAATCCGAGATATTAATGAATCAATCTGTACTGAGCTCAACCTATCTATATTGCACTGTTAGGCTATCTGGAAAATCAGATTAGGGTAAAAAAAATATGCTCTCTCCCCCAAGGAATATAAACAGTGGTTGGAGAGAGAAGACATAAAGAAATGACATGCTAAATAATACCTTGAGATGAGTTATAAAGTAACACATAATCGACTGCCAATGCCGTAGATTTATGTGTATTATAAGCTTGGAGATCACTGAAGTGAAGGAACCTGGCTATGTGCTATAAAAGAACAGGAAATTTCAGCCCAGATATTGGAAAAGGGAAAACAAAGGAAATAAGTACAAAGAGAGAGAGGCCATTCAGAACTGCAAATCTGCCAGTATCACTTCTCCTTGGCCACTTTAACTGGTGATTTGATGCTATTAGGGGATTACTATTTATTATGTTAGGTTTATAATAGTACTGGAAAATGCCCTGATTTTCTGGAAATACATAATAAGACATGTCATATTTAAAGATAAAGTGTCATAATATTGGCATTATATTAATAATTGTTGAATCCAGGTGGTGGGTATGTGGGGATTCATTGTGTACTCTTTATTTTTCTGAATGCTTTTACATTTTCATAATGAAAATTAAAAAAATAGCATCGTTAAGTTTAAAAAATATGCATAGAGAAAAGATTGAAAAGAATTACAACGAAAATTCTGTCAGTAGCTATGTTAGGATAATGAGGATGATGGGTAAGCCACGCCCACCCTCACCCCCAAGCCCCGTTTCCTCTATTGGAAATGTTCTGGAATGTGCTTATGTTGACTTTATAATGGAAAAAGAATGGAAAAGCCATTGTGTAAATGTAAAAAAATTAAAAAAGTAACTTGGCAGACCAGCCACATGAAAAAGGTGGTAAAGAATGTTGGCAGGTGTGTCTTCTTTGTCATGGAAATAGTAAAACATAGAGGTGAGGTGGGGAATAGGGAAGGACCAGCCAGGAAAACATCTCAGTCCTTATCATCCACGTCTTTTAGTCTTAAGGTTAGTTGCTGTTACCTCCAAACAAGTCTAGAGACAATCATTTGTCATCCAAAGGTTTTATCCTGGGAGTGGCTCTGATAGTCATGACAAAATAAAATGAGGATTAAAGCATAAGTTTTAAACTCAAGTCTCTGTGTATAAAATGACACCTATGTATCCTCAAGGAGTAATTCACAGCTTAGTGGAAGGATCAACTCCCTTGCTCTTTTCTTACTCATCCACACAAACAAGCTTAAAAAAATACTTCAGTGCATGGTGGACAACCCATGGCTGTGAAATACTCTTTTCAGAGTAAACTTGAAATTAGGCTCTAAGACCAAGGCACTGCTTTTGAAATTTGCCTTAGTCATTTTTCATATGGGAACAAGAACACTACTGGCATATACTTGATAATATTTCCCCAGAATTTCTCAATATCCCCATACATATATAAAAATTTATAGAAGTGAACTCACTGCAAAGTGTTCAGAATTGGAAAAACACTATTTCCAGCACCACAGCCAACCTAAAATCAAAAGAACAAACAAATATCATGAAAGCAAGTTGGAATTTTTCTCACCAATGTTGGATTTTTAATTAAAAAAACAAAACAAAACAAAACTAGAAGAAATGTACTGGACCTCCAGGAATAAGAGAGTTTTCTAAACTCAAAAGCAATGGAATAAAGCACAAAAATAATAATAAGAAATTTAACTATGGAAACATTTAAAGTTTTTATACACCAAAACCTGAATAAACTGAGTTAAAAGATGACCAAAACACTGTGGAAAAACAAAACAAAACCCATTTGCAATAAATATGATAAAGGGCAGGGCTCATTAAAAACAAACAAATAAATAAAACCTATAGGTAAATAAGCAAAGAAAATAAAAAGAACACAAAAGAAGTACAAACGGCTTCTAAGCATTTGAAGAACTATATGACCTATTTAATAATCAAAGAATGCAAATTAAACAAGGTATATTTTTTGTCTTATAAAGCAGAAAGCATGAAAATAAGAAATTCTAATCAATGAGGATGTGATGAAATAGACACACAGTGCCATGAACTGGTATTAGTACAACTTCTTAGGAAGCAACTTGGCAATATATCTTAAGAGTATTAAACATTTTAATAAACTATGAACTAGTAAACCTAATCCAAGATAATAAAAGAAAATAAAGAAAAGTCTATTTCCAAAGATGTTTGTTGTAGAAACCTGAAAACAATTTAAATACTTAATAGTGCGAAAAAAGATAAGTAGAATTATAGTACTCCATATAGTAAAATATTTTGTAGCTATGAAAATGTTTATAGAAAAATTTTAAAGATAGGGAAAACAGCTTATGATATAATGTTAAATAGAAACAAAGCAAGACCCCAAAATACAGCTATAGTATAGCTCAACTATATAAAACAGTATAAACAAAAGGAGAAAATGTCAGTAAAATGTTAACAGGAGGATTATAATTTTATTTCTCTTATCTACTCTTTTTTATTTTTTAAATTTCTTTATTGATTAAGGTATTACATATGTGTCCTTATCCCTCTCTTATCTACTCTTTAGCAAATTCTCTGTAATTAGTATATTCTACCTTTATAATCAGAAGGAAAATGTGTATTCTTAAAAGTAGAAAATCAAGGCCTATACACCAGATTAGCAAATTATATTTCACATTTCTGTTCCACCTGAAAATAAATAATAACAATAAGAGACAGAAATTAAGGCCAAAACTTTACTGGTATTTAAAACTGCTCTCAAGTTGGAAATTAAAACAGATAAATTTTTAAAAATTTTAAATCACAATCATTTTCCCCTTAAAAAAAATCTGGATAGTTAATAACGTAATATAGAATGTACATTTTAAAATGACTGCCACACCCCATGTTGGCCCTGCAGTGCAGTACCTCTAGGATTCTGAAAGTGGCTTTGCTACCAGGAAAGAGGTCCGCCTTCAGAGGTCCTTTTCTGTGCTCTTTAGAGTGGAGGTTGGCAAGATCAGATTCTGCTTTGCTTTGACCATCTGATGAACCAGAACTTTTCTGATAATAATTCTTTTCTTCAGGCACAATAGGACAGTGCTTTCTTGAGAAACAATTTGTAGCATTAGTTTTTACATAATCCCTTGATAATTCTTTTGCCTCCTCTTCAGTTTTCCGATCAAGTGGAAGAATTTCAGGAAATTCCCTCAGCAGCCAATTACGGTCCTTGAAAAACTTATTCTTATGAATCTTGTAAAATGTGTCCCAGTATTTATTAGCTTCCTTCTCATACTTAACTAAAATAAAGAAGAAAAAAATTACTTAACTATGATTTACATTAAATATTAGTTATCTTAATAACTAAATATGTTTAATAGTTAAATTATTAAATGTATTATATATTATTTATCATTTATAACAAGTATAATTAGTATTGAATAACTTTAACATTATAATTATTTGATTTTATTAACTCTTACAGGTTAAAACTACAGAGTATTGATTCTCTGAAAATGTGTCAATGTGTGGGGAATTCAGTTCATCTGCTTCCATCTCAATAGTTTGGCCAGTAAGTTTTTGTGAGGAATATAATCATTGCAAACTGCTTTCTACAGTGTAATCTTGGAATCTTAATATTCACATTTTTACCAATCCTATCTAATAAAAGAGAAACATGGTAATTGGCGTACAACCGCTACCCTTCCCATTGGCTAATCAGCAAGATATGCAAATTAACTGCCAGCCAAGATGGCGGCCGGCAGCCAGGCAGCTTGAAACTAACATGAGGCTTGCTTGCTTCAGTGACGGAGGAAACCAACCTTCCCCTCCTGCGTTGCCGGCCTCTGAGCCTGCGGTTTAAAAAACATTGTAACAAATATAGAAGCAAACAAAACCCCAGAAACCAGCTTTCAGCGAGCCGGGATCTCAGAGCTGGAATTGATACAGAGTTTCGATTATAGAACCGAAACAAACCAGATACCTGCTTTCAGCAGCGGATGCCTAAGAGCTGGAGCCTCAGAGCTAAAGCTGGCCCAGAATAAAAAAAGAAAAAGAAAAAAGGAGCAGTTGGGAGCTTCAGTCACCTGCCAGCCTGAAAACAGCCCTCAGCCCCTCACCCAGACTGGCCAGGCATCCCAGTGGGGACCCCCACCCTGAAGGGTGTGTGACCAGCTGCAAACAGCCCTCAGCCCCTCACCCAGGCTGGCCAGGCACCCCAGTGGGCACCCCCACCCTGATCCAGGACACCCTTCAGGGCAAACCAGCTGGCCCCCACACGTGCACCAGGCCTCTATCCTATATAGTAAAAGGTTAATATGCCTCCCAGCACCGGGATCAGCGTGACAGGGGGCAGCGCCCAAACCCCCTGATCACCCCGCAGCTCTGTGTGTGACAGGGGGCGGGGCCACAACCTCCCTATCCGCCCTGCTCTGTTCCTGACAGTGGCAGCACCCCAACCCCCTGATCGGCCCTGCTCTGTGGGTGATAGAGGGCGGCGCCCCAATCACCCCCCCCCCCACGGGCCCTGCTCTGTGTGTGATGGGGTAGAGCCATAACCTCCCCATCGGCCCTGCCCTGAGTGTGACAGTGGTGGCACCCCAACCCTCTGATCGGCCCTGCTCTGTGGGTGATAGAGGGAGTCACCCCAACCCCCTGATCCACCCTGCTCTGTGTGTGACAGGGGGCGGTGCCCCAACTCCCCTATAGGCCCTACTCTGTGAGTGACAGGGGGGAGCTCCTCAACCCCCTGATAGGCCCTGCTCTGTGCATGATGGGGGGGAGCTCCCCAACCCCCTGAAGGGCCCTGCTCTGTGCGTGACATGGGGGAGCTCCCCAACCCCCTGATGGGCCCTGCTCTGTGCGTGACAGGGGGCGGCGCCCCAACTCCCCAATCGGCCCTGCTCTGAGCCCGACCAGGGGCTGCACCTAGGGATTAGGCCTGCCCTCTGCCACCCGGGAGCAGGCCTAAGCCAGCAGGTCGTTATCTCCCGAGGGGTCTCAGACTGCGAGAGGGCACAGGCAGGGCTGAGGGACCCCCCCCCCCCCCGAGTGCACAAATTTTTGTGCACCGGGCCTCTAGTCTATAATAATAAAAGCATAATATGCAAATCGACCAAACAGCAGAATGACCGTCCGGATGGCCTTCCAGATGACCACACTATGACATGCACTGGCGCCAGGCCAGCCAAGGCAGGTACAATGCAATTGGTCAGGGGGCCCCACCAACACCCCACGATCACCCCACAGAGGGAGGCCCAGGCCCCTCGGCTGGTGGCACTGCGGCGGGTGGTTGGGGCCTCCCTCTGCAGGGCGATCAATCTGGGGGCGCTGCAATCGATCACCCCACAGAGGGAGGCCCAGGCCACCAGCCAGTGACGCTGCAGCAGGTGTGTGGGGCTGGCCAGTGATTGCCCCGCAGAGGGAGGCCCAGGCCAGCCAACTGATTGCACCCCATGCCTGTTGCCTGCAGAGGAAGGCAACCAGTGGTGGGAGAAGGGCAGGCAGCACTGCACAGATGGCAAGCAGTGGCAGTGGCGGGGACCCGGCCAGCTGCTGGCAGCTGGGGGAAGGCAAGCCCCGATAGGCCCTGATCACCGGCCAGGCCCAGGGACCAGGCCGGGCTGAGGGACACCCCCTCATCCCCGTGCACGAATTTCGTACATTGGGCCTCTAGAGTATATATATGTAAAAGCCTAAGCAACCATTAGGACCAGAAGACTGGATGCCCGGCTGGTAGCTATCATGTGCACTGACCACCAGGGGGAAGATGCTCAATGCAGGAGCTGCTCCCTGGTGGTCAGTGAGCTCCCACAGCCAACCTCCCGCAGCCGGCCAACCTCCCACGGTCCCTCCTTCCGGCTGGCCCAGATCAGCCAGGAGGGACCCCACCCGTGCACAAATTTGTGCACTGGGCCTCTAGTAACCTATAAGGCTCTTTATTATTTTAGAGAAAGAACACCTTATTTTTTATTTGTGTGAAAGCAGTTTCAACATGATATCTATGTAAATTGGTAATCAGATGGTATTATAAATGACATAATCTTAGAGATAGAATGGTCCATTGAAATAATCTACTCTGACCCCTCTGTTTTGCATTGGAAGAAAGACAGCACATAATAGATGAACCCAATTATTCCAGGGCCTAGAGTTCCATCACAGCAGAATAGGGCTGACTCCTGGAGTCTAGGGGCCATCTCATAACTCCATTCTTCCCCCACCTCCAGAGGCATCTCTTTTTACTGACATCTCCTAATATGAAGCCTTAAAGAGAACTTCTGATGCCTGTCTAAAAGAGATATGCATTTTGTGATATCATACCTTAGATTTCACTGGATCCCAGGGTCAGGGTTTGGTCAAGAGTCTCAAAATTTTAGGGAATTCTTAGCTTTCTGCCTCTTTCTATCTGTACCTTAAATTAATAAACTAATATACTTCTTCTCTCCCTCCCACATTCATTCAACAAACTTTTCTTGGATACTATTATGTACCAGGCCTACTCCCTGGGCCTAATTCATGGGTTAAGAATTATTTTCACCCAATGTAGACACATGATATTTTAAAAGTGCTTTCAAAGAATAAAAAACCTATTGATTTGGAATAATTTCCAAGATTCAATGTTGGGTGAAAAGCAAAGTGTAGAACAATATGTTAGCATGCAACCATTGGTTAGAAAAAAAAAGAGAAAAAGAATACATGTGTGTGCATGCACAGAAACATACATGCATGTATATATACATATATACTTATATATATGTACAGAATAGCTCTGGAAGGATAATCTTTAATTAGTAATACTGGTTGCCTCAAAAGAGAGGAACTTAGTGGTTTGAGAATTTTCATTTGAATTTTAATCTGTGAAATTACTATATGCCAAAAATAAATTAAACTAAGCTAAAAATAAAAATAACAGACTCATTTTCCCATAGTTTTAAAGAAGCCCCTGCCCTTAGAACAAGCAGTGCCTATAGTGAGGTTTGTCTTTGTTACAGAGCCCTGGCCTGAAGCCCTTATAGTTTTTCTTTTCTTTCCATTTTTATCTTTATGGCCTTGCACCATGGATCTCCACCCATTTGGCCACAAGACTTTCTTCCCATGAAGCCTGAACTGTATCTGGCAGCAGGACTGCTATAACGACAGAAACTCCCATCTGTATTTAAGGCCTGAGAAATGAAAGCAGATCTCTGTAACAAAAGAATTATGTGATGTTGAAGTCCAAGACATGCTCACATCCACACTAATGGAAGGAAGCCTATTTATGATTAATCTAAACATGCTACATTTTATCTTTACAACAGTCCTATCTCTACTTTTAAAAACTGGAGTGTATACAAAGAAAACAAAACAACATTCTGCAAATCAGATTCAGGAGGAATTAGGAAACTGTCTAATTTCCCCAGGGTCTTCTTGCATCTTGCCTTCTTCCTTTTATCTTAAAAATCTTCTTTGTAACTCACTCTATGCTGGTAGGTTTTTCTGCTTAATAAAAAGCAACCACCTAACAAGACCTACATTTAGTCAAATCTCTAGTATCTGCGTTTCCAATACCAAGCTACTTGTGAAGTGATTTTGAACCTAACTATCAGTAAATAGAATATAATAGTACACCGTGATTAATTTGCAGACTATTCCCCTAGGAATTAATTGGTGGTAGGGAGGTAGACACCTGGGGAGTAACTTGAAAGGAAAGATATTCATAGCAGTGCTATTTGTAAGAGGAAAAACTGGGAAATAACTCAAATACCCAACAAACCATGACCAAGCAAACCATGCAGGTCAAAACAGAGTAACCTTACATAGCAATGAAAATGAAAAGGATAATAATAAGAGAAAACATTCACATAGGATCGTCTATACACTGACTGCAACTCAAAAAATTATTTTACATTCATTTATCAAAATCTGGTGAAAATTTGGAGTGATGCTAACAATTTAGTGGTTATTATGTAGTTCTTTCTTTTGCAGTTTTGTCTACATCTTACACAAAGATAAAGAATCTTAGCTAATTCTTCCTTCAACTTGCCTACAGTTTCCTCATTTGATGAGAGGTTGAATGTACTCCATGTTCAAGCTCTAAAAAGTCTATGTACTTTCCTATTAAACCCCACGAACTTATGGAGAATATTAGACATTATCAGTTCTACAAACTACAAAATCTTGGATAAGATTGCTGTCATAAAAACGAGCCTGTATTAATATTTTAATTTCTACAATTTATAAAGAAAATGCATCTGCAGTAGATGACTGGAATCTGATTCATGTACCAAATATATCAAGCATCTAAATGCAGCCCTGGCCTAGG